TTAACCCAAAACGAAAATTGGGATCAAAACTCATATGAAGGTCTAGTTTTTGGCGCTTTTTGCCACCATTGCTCGTCATCAAAAGAAATTCCTCTTAACAAGTCTCACTGGTTGCTAGACTTTTAACAATTTTTGTATGCCAGAGGCTCGGAGTCAAAGGTTTCCACTTACCAACAATTAAAGAGCTCACATTCAGCATTAAAAACATCAAGAGAGTCTTGAATACAGACATATTATCGATATGGCATACACTCAATTGAAGAATCGTTGTCGGGTTCACAAAATATAGAACATAGAAGCTAAGACCGAAATGGCACATGGGAACTACGTTAATTAGATGCATGCTGTGACCGGCGACCCGTGGCATCATCCACTGTTTTTAATACGCGTTTGGCATTCTAAACCGACTGCATGGATGTCGCAAATGAATAAATTATAATATAATTATGTCATTTCCCATGTGCCATTTTGGTCTCAGCTTTCATGTTCTATATTTTCTGAACCCGACAATGATTCTTTTCAACGATCATCTTTTATTCTTCTTCTTATTCTTATTACCAGTTTTCTTATCAAGTATCATTTACACTCGATTGCAGAAACGTTGTAGTATACATTTATACATAATATCTAACTTATTCAGTATATTTAATGATATGCAGAACAGAAAAATCGCTTTATTTATTGTTTGTTTCATTCAATGACTGTCAAAATATTTTTTTCTTATCTATTAGATCGTACAGATTATAAATCAGTTGGTTTTAAGCGTTGAAAATGGTTATTTTGCATTGTGTATCTCATTTAATATTTGTATAAATGTATAAATGTATACTACAACGTTTCTGCAATCGAGTGCATATACATATATATATAGGTATATATGATTTGTAAATAGTTATCTTTATTTTTAAGATTGTGAAGCGCCATGAGCACAGGATGTGTGCGCTATATAAATAAAGTTATTCTTATTATTATTATTATTTCTTCAATTGAGTGTATGCGACTCACAGAGGATATGCCTACTGACCAAAGATCATAGAGTAAAAAAGTGCAGTCCTCTTTCGGATCGTCACATCGGAAGTCATGCAGCTTGTAAGCGCTTCCTTCAAGACGCTAATGAATATTCATTTTGAATTCCATAATATTGATAATAACGAAAATAATAATAAGAACTAAAACAGCAAGAATAGCAAGAACAATGAACAATGAACAAACTGCCCAGGGGGTGGGGGGTGGAGGGAATCTCTTGAAAAGTGGGTAGGGGTGGCTCAACGGACCTTTTAGGGTGGAAAATAAGACCTCGCGTACCTTTTAGGGTCTCCGGCTGACTCCGTACCTTTTAGGGTCAGATTTGTTCATTTTGAAAAATATCAAACGTCATACAAGAATATAATGGTTGGAAACGTTGTCATTTTAAATGTGGTTGTACCTTTTAGGGTCATTTTCAAAACTGTCCGTCGAGCCCCCCTATCCACTTTTCGGGAGAGTTAACCCCCCCCCCTCCCCCCCCCGGGCAAACTGCTCACGCCAAAATCTTATAAATTTACAATGTAATTTGATAAATTAATATTTGTTTAAGCCTATATTTACTAACTACTGATTGGTTGACTGCTGATTGGTTGCCTGCTGATTGGTTGACTGCTGATAGTTTGACTGCTGATTGGTTGACTGCTGATTGGTTGACTGCTGATTGGTTGACTGCTGATTGGTTGACTGCTGATTGGTTGACTGCTGATTGGTTGAC